CAGGTAATTGGAAGCTTTAAAATTGTTAGGTTGTGTTAACTCCTATAATTGTTCAAATAGTAGCACCCAAGAAATTTTAGTATTCCTCCACCAACTAGATAATGTTGGCTAGAAATTAGTGGTTCTAGATTTCTATTTCTCTTCTGTAGTTTGTTCTATAATTTAAGTGGCAATCAAATGATATTGCAGAAGTTCAAATGATTACCTTTCACAATTATCTTGCTTGATTTGTATGGTTATCTCTTCCATCTAGAGGCAAAGTATGGCTTGGTATGCTATACACCCCTGTTTCATAGCATTACAAAATTTAAGTTTGTTTCAACAAGTTGAATAGTGTACCTTGTTAATCGTGACTCCCAAGCTTGTCAAGAATATTTCAATGTCCTAATACCTGAGTACCATGGATTAACTTACAAGAGCACATTATTTTATTGTAAAAGATGTATCGATAATGTATACGTTGTAATATTTGTGCTAATCTTCAGTAAAACATTTATAAGATGAATATTAGTACTTCTAGTTAAGAAACTATTTTAACAACCATTTACATTTTACAAGCATTTGCAAGTGTTTAGTATAATTTGTGTGGCTCAACTCTAAATATGGCATTATACAAAGAGGGACTGACATGGCAGCAACACCTTGGCATTGCATGAGGTTTTCCTAATGCTGTTGAATAATGTCCCCTAATGTCTAATGAACAGTAGTTTAGAATAGTGACTATGATTGTCTAACAGAGTTGAAGGTTAAGACACTATAGAAATGAAATTTGGAATATTGTCAAATATAATAAGCTTCACATCGAAGCCGCCCTTTGCACTCCTGAAGTCTTGGGTGGTCAAAAAGAAGCGAGATGAAAAAACCATGACGGTCGCTGAATAAGTTGTAGGTACTCTTTCAGCATTACCCAACATGGTGACACAACTTTGGTAGTATAACTTGAAAATTTTATTTATTTAATAATATTCAACTACGTCTTGCTCAGAATTGAAATGTATTTAACATGGGTTTTCCATTGATATTTTAAATTTGAACATGGCTTAAGATTTTGTCTAGAAGTATGGTTAACATACATTGGGCATATTTAAGTGGCTTCATTGCTCTTTTCATTGCATTAATGGAGTTCCTTTTCTTTACAGGCAACCTCTGCATGATCACATCAGGTTGTAACATGGGTCGTGTGGGTACCATTGTGTCCCGTGAGCGTCATGCTGGTAGCTTTGATATTGTTCATGTTAAGGATTCTGTTGGCCACACTTTTGCCACCAGGTGAGAATTGCTTTCCTATATTTTTTACCAATAAGTATGAAATTATTTTAATGGTCAATTGAAGAGATTTTCAACAGATGGTATTTTCTAATGTCAGTTATATAAAATTTATCATTTGAAACCACTGGATACAAATTGTTTTAGTGAAAGCAGTTGACATTCAATTCAAGTGTTAGCATTACGAAGTAAAATTGATAAAGGATTCCAGCTGCATATTTATGAATTAGCATTAGGTTAAAGCAAGGAATTCTAGAGAAGAACTTAGCAAACTTGATGCAAGCTTCTCATCGAAGCCACCCTTTGCACTCCTGAAGTCTGGGGTGGTCAAAAACGAAGCAAGAGAAACAAAATAACCATGACGGTCGCTGGTCGAGTTCTAGGTATTCTTTCAGCATTACCCAACATGGAGACATGAATTTAGTATGGAGTTAGCGGTATAAATTATAAGGTATAAAATCTAGTAAAGGATCTGTCAGAATTGAAAGCTGGATTCAAAGTATATGAAGATGAAATTTCCATTTATGAAGGAATTTATTCAGGAATTGCATATAAGCACTTAGGAAACTACAATTATTTTTTTTTGCGTCTTGATTTCTGTATCTTAAATAGCTTGCACTGGCAAGTTTCTGTTCATCTCATTGCATCATGCCTGCTATCATTTTATTCAGGATTAGGTAGTTGATACTGTTGATAATTTCAGGAGATAGTAAATGTAAGAAAATAAATATGCCAGAATTCTGTTCAGTAAATATTCAATCTGTAATCTTGTTTCAGGTTGAACAATGTGTTTGTGATCGGCAAGGGCACCAAGGCATACATCTCCCTTCCAAGAGGCAAGGGTGTGAAGCTTAGCATTGCTGAGGAGCGTGACCGCAGGCTGGCTCAGAAGATTAACTAAATAAAGATCTTTAAGTGAAAAGCAAATATTTTTTTGGCCTTTGGATAGTAACTTAAAAAAAACATACCAGAGAATTTAGGACTTGATTTTGATTTGTAGATTTCATTAACGGATCTTGATGTGAATTGATCATGGGCATCTTGTTCCTTCTTGACCAAGAGATAACTTGTACAGCTACATCGAAAAATATCGTTAGAAAACCATGTTAACGTTCTGACACAAGGAAGGATATTTTTAAAAACCTGCTTGTTGATGCTACAAAACTGGAGGTATCCCTGAATTTCTTACTACTTTCATGTGTGTGGCTTATCTGAATATCACAAGCCATATTCCATCCCTTACGGGAATATATTCGTTATCTTGAGTAAATTCATTTGAATTCTGGAATGACTATCCATGATATGAATCTGGACGAGAATACCAACCCTTCCATAACAGAAGGCTGTGCTCTTTATTGAATGTTTTGACATCTAACAACCATTTTGTGTAGCTGTACATGTTGCATAGTTGGTAATTTGAATCTTTAATTTTCGTACCATCAATACTTAACTGATTATCAATCAGTGGTAATAAAGTGGGTATTAATGCACCTTTGTTTTAAGAATGTTCCAAAATTTGGTTTAGATTTTGGAGGAGATTGAAAGAGATTGAATACTGCAACTACTACCATCACCCTCACCCAATCCCTTGCCCATTGTTGTGGAGGGTCTTAGGAGACGGAGACTGAGACTCAATGCAGGGATCTCCCCCTGCCTAGAGCCTCAGCCCTTGAGTCAACTAATTTTGCATGGTCTTCCGTCCTTTCTCCAAACACTTCTACTATCTACTTCCTAAGAGCCGTGCTGAAAGGATGAAAGGCTGACTTTGTGCCAGTCCTGAACGGCCTGAGGGAACCATGGGCACGGTATTCCTAGGTTTTGGACCCTGAGGGGTGGACTGTTTATTTCCCCAACATAGCCATGGCTTCCCATAGCCAGTAATGAAGAAGTAATACCCATATTAGAGGCAATGAGGCTTGCACCTTTATCAAGTAGCCCCACCGATTCATATTCGCCCGACTTCCCAACCCCAAACTTTCCTTTGACCACGACTCTGAACACTACAACTGCTACCCACTCCTCAGTGCCGCCTTGTGCATTATCCACTCAAGTCGAGATTCCTACTCCCAACTTTCTCAACTTCATCTACTACCCCCACAGCCTTCACCAATAATTTCATCTTCCCTTATTACTACATTACAGCCTTATTCTCCCTTCAACAATACTTCCTATTCCACACGTCCCCGTCCTTCTACCACCCACAACTCTACCAATATCTTAAATACTCTATTTAGCCAAGCTAAATGGGACCGATTTTTCGTGGTCACCCCTACAGCTCCTTACTCAGGCAACACACTCCTTTCAACAATGTCTCCAAAAGCAAGTGGGCAGTCCCCCCTTCCCTACCCGACCCGATCGTTCCCGTCTCATTAATTACATCTGAAACTGAAGCTATGGCATTATCAAATCTGATTTCTCTGGCAACCCCATTCCTGCAGAACTCCATGCAACTCGCAATACTTGTACTGGAACTGTCTCTTATCTCCCCAGCGAGCTGCCCTAAGGATATCGATCGGTCAGATTGTGGAGAGTACTTACTCGGCTGCTTCTCCATTCCTCCCCCCCCAATCCCTTGCCCGTTGTTGTCGTGGGGGGGCTTAGGAGACGAAGACTGAGACCCAATACAGGGATCTCCCCTGCCTAGGGCCTCAGCCCTCGACTCAACTAATTTTGCATGGTCTTTTTTTTTCTCCAGCTTTTGTTTCCGTCTCTTCTCCATCCCCTTCTGCTATCTACTTCCTAAGGTGTGAGAGCCGTGCTGAGAGGATGAAAGGCTGACCTAGTGCCAGTCCTGAACGGCCTGCGGGAACTATGGGCACGGTACTCCTGACTAATCTAGCCCTTACATTCAGTAGGGAAAGGGGGTGGACCGAATAGGCCTATTTACATAATCCAGGTTCCCATGTACCTAGTAATAGAGAATGTAATTCCCTATATATAGAGCTATGAGGCTAGCAACCCTTTACTATCACTTATGT